TGCAAAGGGAAAACAGTAAGACAGCAGTGTTGAGGCTACTGCAGATACAAAGACTAACTAAAAAGATCTAAACACAGCCAGTGACAGAATGAAAGCAATGGAAAGGTAAGACAAGTCTACTCTCCAAGAGGAACTGCCACAAGGTTTGAGGAGCTTCTTCCTGCTTCTTTCCAGGGCAGGGGTACCTGAAGACAAGTGTCAGTTATTCTTAAATGAGAATATGAAAAAACAGTACAGATCTATCAACCAACATCACAAATTTGGAAATGGAAATGCCAAGCACACATCTGGGAAATGAAAGCATAGTTCACCATCCTGCTGGAGCAAATGTACAGACTTGCTTTTAAAAAGCAGCTTAAGCGGCGCAAAAAAAAGCATCCGAGTGTAATGGAAAATGTGTTATTTCTATGAACTCCCACAGAAAAAGTTACTGAACTGCAAAGCACAGATTGCAGCACAATCTAAATCTCTAGTTTACGGAAGAAAAAATGCAAGGTAAGCTACTCTGGATTCTTTGCCTATATTCTGGATGAGTGCAAGTTTTTTTATGTACAGTAAGGTCTACAAATCCAAACATTGTAACTCTTTAAGAATTTTCAGTAAGGTTTCTGCTGGAATACTTTTCTTCTTCTGAAAGAAAGAACTGTAAATTTAGTGACTAGACTCTAGTTAACTGCCAGCTTCTTTAGTCTTGACAGCTCGTGAACTTTCTTTTCAAAGTGAGCCAGCTTCTGGATGAAGAAGGCAGAAAAATACAGAATGCAAGATGATTGCCTGATCTTACTGTGAAACCTGAAAACCAGTGCTCAAAATTTTCTCTAATGCTTACTATCTCTGATCTGTCTCCTAAACTCAAGGCTGCAAGAGAACTAACACATGCTGAGCAGTTTTAAATGTTGCAAACTTCTGATTACTAGATGCAAGCATCAAAAAAACATGAAATTCAAATATTTAACAGCAAGTGTCCAGCAGAAAGCACAACCTCACTATAATGTGATACTGTTCAACGACTCATTTGCCCAGCAGAAATAGATCAATTAATCTAAACCAGAAAGACCAATTTCCTAGGACACAAACATTTCAGATGACTACATGTGCCCACTGTCCACTCCAGACTTAAGACACAAGCTCCATCTCAGAAGATCATGATTCAGAAACTTGGAGAGTGTCAGCAATACAAGCGATTTTGATGCATTTTGTTCAGTGAACAGTTTCCCCACTGAACAAATTATTCCTCCAGAAGAATCATGCTTTTTACACACCTGCCTGTTTTTTAGTGGTGTTCGGCAGAACACATGCCTGAAAATCCTTGAATCATCTTCTGCAAGATGGCAAAGTGTGATCTTTTTCCAAAATCTTCATTTTATGGCTTAAGCGACCCTGGCACAGTGTTGGACACCTATAAGAGGAACTAGAGAGAGAGGGTCCTTAGGACCCTGAAAGACCCAGGAGGGTCAGAACAGTGAAGGGTCAGTATTTCTCCCACTTCCTGCCATACTCTTATAGAAAAGCCAGGATACCCAGAAGCTCAGCCCCTTTTCCTCCTGTGCCTTCTTCCTTGTGGCTGCTCCTGCTCCGAGATTCTGCAGTTTGCCACATGCTCTCCAGAATCCAACTCCATTGGGTGCTGGGAGGAGCTGTGGAACCCTCTCTTGAAGCTGTCTTGCCACAAGGGACTCTCACTCCCCTACTCCTGCAATCAGCAAGATTGGTTTTATACATATCTGTATCCAAGTTAAATATCTGTTCTTTCCCCCACGTTACTCCCTTCTTCTGTGTTATAGTAAATTTGTTCCAGTTTCAATTTCCAACTCTTAAGTCTCTCTTCCTTATTCCCCTTCTGTCTTCCCTTGGGAGGGTTGAGGGGGGTAAAAGGGAGCAATTCTGCCTCTGGCTTGTGGTTCATTCTATTTAAACCAGGACATTTCAGGAAGATGAAAAGGAACCACCCTTTTCAAAAGTGATGCTTCTTCTCTTGGCCATTTGATCCTGCTGCCAAAGTCTATCCTTCAGCATGTGACAATTCCAGTACAAGCCCCATTTTCAAGTAACTTGTAACGGATTTGCACATTATTTTCAGACCTCCCTTCTCAGTTTACACACAAAATCTCAATGCAACAACTTCATATTCCACACATCTTTCATGGAGGGCACGCTGAAAGCCAGGACCAGAGAAGCTGCATTTTTTCAGGGCTAAGCCCACTCATCATGCTTGGTATGTCACAGCATATCTTTTGTAACATGCCCTCGTATTAATGGAAGGCCTGAGATACCATCTCAATTTTACGTCTTTGCTGGACATGTATAACAGACTTGAAAAGCAACATTTTCCACAGGTGATTTTCTACATCAGCAACATGTTGTCTGGATCATTTGAAGTGGAAAAAGCTCATACTCTGAATTTCTTTAATATATAAACAGACAAAACTTATGTGATGGTGCACAATAAACACAGCGATATGACCACCTCTGCCAGGCACTAGAGCATGCCAGGGTGAGCTTCATCTTAAAGATAAGCAATATAGTTTGATCACAATTCACAATAGCAGCAAAAGAATAAAAGCATTTTTAAACACTAAGATGCATTTTTAAGTGTTTTCTGGTAAAAAGACCTACTGCCATTTCTAAAAAGAGAAGAGAAACAAACCTAAAAAGTCCATACCCAAAAGAAACTGCCAACCCTAAAGACAACTAAGACACTCTATGGGGTTTTAAATCTGCAGTAATGACTATCAGAAAACCTTCAGTAAATGTTAAGATACCTGATATTCTTTACAGCATCTGCTACAGAAAGTAAGAAGACAACTCAGCAGCTGCAGTCACTGACATGCACCTTTGAAGAAATCAGTCTCCCATGTACCAAACACACAAACACACCTGTAATCTGCATAAAGAATCTTCAAGAAACTGAAGACCCACTAGAAAACAGAATGGCACCAAGATCAACGAGACAGTATGCTCATTTCAAACATCTACACCTAAACAGATGACCATCATTATACCACATATGCACAAACTCATGCACACGTACAAGGCTACAATAATACCAATTAGGATTATTTGTAATTATTTGGCTACAACTGGTTATATTAATAACAAGTGCTATTCAATGACTGGTAACTAATTTAAAGTATCTCTACGAATTCGGGTTTTATTATTTCATTTGTGTATCAAACTGAAAAAAAAAAAAAAGAATCTAAACTCTGCAACATTTAAATCTGGAAAACCTCAGAACACTAACTTATATATTTTACACAGATAAGAAACCATCTGAACAGAATTCCAAGCACAGGTGAATGGAACATACTAGGTACCTATACATATATATTACTTTCCCACAGGCTTCAAAATACAACCACACAATTAAAACCTTGTACAGAAATAATCTCTATAAATAACAATTGCGTTTAATTCCTAAGTTATGTAAATAAGTATCTTAATTATCTAAGAAAAAAAGGTTCTATGGGTGTGTGTATTTATTTACACACACACACATACAGACATACACTTTCAACTCAGCCAATTTTTAAAGTCTATGTGATTTTCAGACCTAATGTATTGCCTATTAATACTTTATAGTATTAAGATATTCTGTTTATCACACAAGTTTTGTTTTCACACTAGTAACCTGACTACAATTTTATCACAGTTCAGACTGGCCACCAGCCAGGGCTCTCATTCAGTTCTGGACTTGGTTTACTGATTTGAAACGTTGGAGGGGCAGAATTTAAACACCAAAAGTCATACTTAGATCACAAACCAGAAGAACCACCAATTTTAACCTTAATTAATTTCTAGCAAGAGTACTCAGAAAAAAGAGCGGGGGATGGGGCTAAGGACCTACTATAGGATGGGATGCAGAGGAAGCATGAAATAAAGCAGCAGAACAAAGCTGCCCACACTAAGGCTAAAAATGCAAGGAAGATTTTTAAGAAAATAAATCAAACAGGTGGTACAGGGAGAAAAGGTACAAAATACAATAAAAACTAAAAGCATTAAATTCATTTGATATGAGTCTAACACTTTTTTGAGCAAATCTCCACAACACCCCACAATCTGGGGAGTTTATCAGGTATATATAATTCTCCCCACTCTACTCCTACAATATGCAGGTTTTTAAAATTTATTTCCAAAGCCATACTTCAAAATGGCAAGGAAAACATGATTCCAGAAATTCCTTACAAAACGGTGAACTTTTAGAGTTATTTCTTCATACAAAAAAAACATGTCACTTTACTGTCTGTAAAAAGATGAAATTTCATGTACTGACTAATGAGAAGCCAACAGTTATTTAAGCTACATTCTAACTATGTAAATACCAGTCTTCCAATGTGAAGAACCCAATATAAAGAGCAATGCTACCATTAATATTCCAATTAAAAAAACACTACCATACCCTGTTTTCTTAGAGTTGGGTCAATTCTGTAATTCAGGTTCTATAAGATGTAATTTGTCTCTTGCTGACAGGATGTGGAGGTGATTAGTGTGAAAATTTTGTCATGTATGAGCAGATGCATCAGTAGGTGAGGGCTGGGTATTTTTTGGATAGGAAAGGGCCTTTTAAGTAAGTTCAACTAAGAATTCACAACATGCCAGGATCTTAAAATGCAAATATTTTAAACATTTCCCACCACACCATGTACTAGAAAAAAAATCTGGAATGTTAGTATTTATATGAACATTTCAACTAATTATTTTTTTTTTTTAAATTCATGTCTTCAGAGTCAACATAAATTCTACACAATACTGGTTTCTAAATCTTTGTATTTCTAAATCCTAATTACATACCAAGATAGCATTTGCATAAATTTGAGATGCAGTACACTATTGCTAGCAATAAATACTAATAAACATCCTATATAGCGAAGAACAAGATAAAGACGATGGGCTGTTACCATCAAAATAGACCATGATGTAAAGTACAGATGCCCTAGCAATAGTCTGGATTTTCTGAGCCAAATTTAAAGTTTCTAGAAGCAAGTTTGTCAAAGCAAACATACCGAAGTGTGCTGAACCACTGCTACTTTTACTTTGTATAGAGGTACTGCATGTCTGGGTCCCGGGTTGTGCTGTGCCTGTTCGATTTATGCCCCTGTATAATTTCCTACAGGAGAGTTCATCATTGTCACTGTCATGTAGGGATGGTGTCCGAGGCCTAAAATGCCGCCATCTACATGATTTGATATTGACAAGTATCTGACTGAGGTCTTTTGAGAAAGATTTGTCCGAGGTATTTGTTTCTGAGGTATTGGCAAATTGACTGATTGAAGAGTGTTGTGATGAGGAAAACATTTCCAAATCCAGCTGATGAAGTGTATTATCGTAGTCCGAATGCGCTCTGTCTAGCAGCACCCTAAAAACAGGAAACCAAAGCAGTATTATACAGTAGCAAAAAAATACCAAGAAAGTCACTGGTTTGCTCTGGCTGCTTGGGGACAACAAAGAGATAGAAGAAACTACACAAAACTCTTCTAGAAGAGACAATCCCTCCCCCCAGCAAGAGAAATAATGCATGACTACGTATCATTTTACAATAAGTAGTATGTTTGAGTTTCTCTTCACATGTATATTCTTTTACTGTTTGAACAGCTCATGTACATAATCATGCATATATTAAGACACTGCAACAGCATATATACATTTTTAAAGCAGGTTGGAAGGTAAGAGCTCCATAATGCAAAGAAAAAAAAATAGTAGAGAATAAAATTGTTTAAGTAACTAAAAAGTTATCCAGATGCTCTCTTACTGAAGTAACTTTAGTTCAAGAGCCTTACTGCCATATATATACTGAACATACCTACAACTATCTCAGTGAAGTGGGGATGGATGTCATACATTAACTTCCAAATCCCCTTTCAAAATCCCAATCTTCAGCTCCCATTCTGATTTTGCTGATAAGCCAGTCTGACTTGTTCATATATGAAGAGATGCTAAGAATTAATCTTAAAGCCAAATCCTGTTACCTTTTTTTTAAAGTTAATACCAACATACTATTTTCTTAGAGACATCTAACACTAAAGAAATACCATGTATACACTGCACAATTTAGAAACTGTTTTCAATAAAGATGCTTAGAAGCAAAATGCCTGAAGCCCTCAATTCTTTGATATTTTTGACAATTTTGAAATTTAACTTATTATTGCATGTAAGTATTCCTCCCAAAATTCTCCTCTACAATTGGCTAATCACCAAATACAGTCCAAGCTCAGAAAAGCATTTTCCAAAATATGCAATTTTTGCTATTTTAAAATACTACTATTTGAAGACAACTACACAAATCATGGAAATGCAAACCAATCACAATTTAATATACACCTACTTCCACCTCAGAACTTGGGAGTGCCAGTAACAAAATAACCCTGAGAAACATTTAAAAAACCCCAAAAAGTATTAAAGCAGCTTCTACTATGGCAAAACAAAAAAAAGGAGACAACAACCAGCTATAGAAACTTGTATCAAATGGAAATATTTACAAAGTCATTCTCTCTGATGTCTCCATTTTTGAGGTGATTGAGTATTTTTTAACTTTACTCTTTATATCTTACAAATTTTTATTTTTTATTTGTTCTTAGAAATAACAGGCACAATTACATACTACCACTCACCTTCCACCACGGCCGACCCGTCTTCGTGCAAACCCGATGCACCTCTGGGGTACAGTGAGGGTGGTTAAGCAGTATCTGTAACGCACATCTCCTAATCTTCCCTCTGTAGGGCTACTCCATGGCCAGTTGCCAGGTTGGTCTAAATGAGGCTTAAAATAATTTAAAACAGTTAAACACTAGATGTTTTACCACAATGATGCTCTCTCTTATGATACATAAGGAAATTATACTTACAGCATAGTACTGACAGCCTGCTTTCCTACGGAAGGCAAAAGGACCATCAGGATCATTTTCTTCCTCAGCCTCCGAAGAACCAGACAAAACCTTTAGAGAGGATAGGGATGTATGAGGAGACATATTAGTAAATTCCTTAGTTTTACTTCTATTCTGTCCCCAAGCACAGCATAGAAGGTGTGCTAGGTCCTACCTGGGAAAGAGGTTCTTCATCTGAGCTAGGAAAATCATACTGATTCAAATCTTTAGCATTAAAGACTGGCAGTGCAGCAGGACTTGTCTGTTGAGGAGTAGCAGCAGCAGATGAAGGTAAGACTTTTGGCTTCTTCTCATACTTTCTTTTGGGTCTAATAACATCAGGTTTATCTTGCTGCAAAAAAGCAGTGCACATATACACACACAAATTAGACTAAATCAGTTTTTAAAAACTCCTGTGTAAGCAAGCTAAGAAGTTATCCCGTCTGTCCACCATTTTTATAGTAAAACAGGCAGTCATTTAATGGAAAACTGCATTTCATTTCCAGTAACCAAAATGTTTAACAGACAAGGTGAAATCAAGCACTATTTCCTCAATCTGTGCTAGATAAAACACTAGCAGTTAATAAAATAGTACTACTTTGGAGAACTAGACCAAAATAAATACAATTGTCTCCATGAGGCATCTTTTCTATTTTCTAACAATTTAAATATGCATTTATGCAGTGTTGGGGAATTATTAAGTACCAATCAATGCTTTAAACACAAAAATACAAGTTAGATTTCTCAAAGACACCTAGAACCTCAGAAAATCCTCTAAAAATGAAACTTATTTTCCCATACCATGCAAAGTCAACTGTTAAGTGCATTTCCCAAGAAACAGGTTGCTTTCAAGCTGGAAGATACTGCATTGAACTAATAGAGGAGTACACTTCAGTCATCTCAATGACAATGCTCTACTTATCAAAACAAGTATTCACTCATTCAAACCACCTTGTCAGTTTCAGAATAGCCTTTGGGTATCCTTCAGTTATAAGAAGTCTGCTTAAAATTCCAATTACGCCTCTGCATTTCTCCCGTGTTACCTGACCTATCTAATATGCTCAGTTGTTGGCACTATAGCTATGCTTTGTATGACACAAAATCAAAGCCAAGAGGAAAGAAAGTGCTGGTCAGCTGTCAAAATTAAATTAGATTTGATACTTTAACATAAAACAAACCACAGATATACATTAGACTGGGAACATCAGTGAATCGTATTAAGGATCATCTAAACTCACAAAAAACAATCATCCAGATTAAAGTAACTACATACAGATTTTACCGCATTAGTCCTATTTTTGTCCAGTATCCAGGTAATAAATATTTGTTCAGCATATCCAAACTTTATGGGCAGTATCAGAGAAAAATGTTTGTATCCTCCAGAATAAGAACACAATTGCATGTATCCCTTTGTCTGTATTCATCAATACTTCCTTTATTTCTGCCTTGAGAAATGCCTCATGCAGCAGTCTGTATGTTATTCTCATAATTCCAACAGGACAGAGCATTTTTTTCCAGTTATAGCTGTGCTAGTCTATTTCCAGTTCCAAACAGCTTCCCCCCTCCTCCCATTATAAAATGTTGGATCTTGCATAAGTAACAGCATGAACCAGTAACTTGGTTACTGATATTACTCACTTTAACTTTATATTCTTTCAGTTCCATAGCTTCTTGGTGTTTAAAAGGGCTGCTGTTAGTCACAGGAATGATGGGAATAGAATAGGTAGGTTTAATTGGCTGCCGCTGTGCCATGACCTCAGACATGATCTCTCCACTGTAGTCACCCAAATTATACCTGAAATTAGAATAATATTTTTTTATTTGCTGGAATGTTGCCATCTATGTCTGGTAAAAAAATGCACAACACAGAGAAACAGACTTGTTTTGTGACACTTGCACCTTGGGAAAAAGGGATATCCAGGACAACAGGAAGAAGTACATAAGATATTATTCCAGAGAAAGGGACTAATAACACGGAAACCTCACTGTGATGATTAATGCTGACAAATAAAGAACAAGGATAACTGCCCTGTATAGCCTGCATAACATTTCCAAAAGATAACATGGTAAAGAAAAGAAGCAGAAACTAGAAGTAAAGGAGAGGCTTTCCCCCCTTCTCACTCGGGACAGGTATAATTTCAAAGCATGAATTAATCATTCAAGAGGTTTTAAACAATGCGGCAGAGTGCCTTATATATACATTAATCTCCCTCCTTTTTGTTATGGAATATTGTCACAACAAGCAGATCCATGAAACTTCTTACATTTCAAGTCCTGTGGGAAGTGCTGAGTTGAAATGCAGTCTTCCATTCTGAGAGAGGCATTAGAGTCTTTCATTTATTCAACAACTTACTTTGTTTTAAAAGCTACTGGAAAATCTTTGATATTTCTCCCCTATTTCTACTGAAAACAGTCAGTGCTTGAGAAAGTGCTCCTATAGAGACATTTGACTTGTCTGCCTAAGAAGCCTGACTAAAAAGTTAGCTTTAGAGCTTCAAAATACTGACTCAAAACATTCATTTTTTCAAACATGGATGTAATTCTCAACCTAAAGAACACACTGCAAATGTGATTCTCAGTTGACAGGGAAAGTGACAGTTGACAGAGCAGAGCATTTGGTCTTCAGCACAGCCGACAAACAGGATGTTAAAAGAAGCACTACTGGATCACTCACAGAACAACATACTATACTGCATGAAATGCTTATTTATGTTCCTCAAGGGTATTAGATCAAGCTCTGCTAAAAAAGAACAGCAGTAATGAAGAAAAAGGATGACTGGAAATGGCCTGGGTTTTCATTAAGCTATGCATTTAACATGAATTCCGAAATGAATTTACCTGAAACCTATTTCTCCTTGTGTATAATATATAGAATATATACATACATTTGAATACACAAACACATGTAGCAAAATAATGTAGATTAGGATGATGGGTCACTTTACCATAGTAAATGACTTCTTAATTTTATTTTGCTAACCACAGTCATGTGATATAAACGTGAAAGAGTCTGAAGACTCATTTTAAAAATTTCTCACTGTTTTAAAGCATTTGTGGGAATCAGAATACATGGTAGGTCCCAAAGCTTCTGCAGCAAATTTTCAATAAACATTACCTCTTTTCCATAATTTCCAGTGTTAAATGCAGTAACTCCCTCTTGCTTTTTTCCCTCCTCTTTATCATCTCCAGGATGGTCACTGCACGACTCAGATCTCGGCGCAGCTTAAGCATCTTCTCGTAAGATGCTTCATCATTCTTCCGATTCTGTAGATACACAGTGTATATGTTGCCTCACATAACTTTAAATAATCTGAATTAAAGATCTAAATATTTAAACATATATTTCTAAAAATTACTAGCTAAAATAAAGAGAAGCATGTGCATGCCATCAATAAGCTACAGCTTACCAACACTGTAAGTAGGTTTAGCAGTATATTAAGTGAAAAAATAAACTTAGACTCAATAGCTTTTCTAAAGTAACTTCTTTTTATGTTCTATCCTTGCAAATGAAACAAAAAAAAACACCCCAACTTTTACTGTTTTATACTACATAGGAGAAATGCTTCTTTATAAAAGCTCTGTTTTGAGAGGGAGAGAATTAAGAGAGAAAGCAGAGGGAGGTACTGATCTACTTACTTTCCGTGTCTGCATCTTTTCTGTTCGTCTTCTAAAAGCAACATAAGGATCATTTGTACTAGAACCATCTCGCTTCTCTTGTTTCACTGCTGGGATAAGAGAGGGACCTCGACAGTTTTTCCTCTTTTTAATCCAGTACTCATACACTTCTCTGATCAATTCATCATCTTCTTTCAACAACAGCTTGGCCTCTTGCAGGCTGACTGGCTAAAAGTAAAAAACCCAGCATGTCACTTTCATATAGCAATGTACAGAGTACTTATTTCAAATTCTTTATGCAAAGTACCATTGTACCTGCTGACCGCTGCCCTTTTCTAGTCTGTCTATCATCTCCTCAAATTGCAAAGGAGAAATGTCCATTCTTTTCTTCAACTTATTCACAAAGATCTCATCTTCCGAATCCAAGTCATAATCTGGCTGCTCAGCATCCAAACTAAAAGCTAAGAGAAACAATGAAAAGTGAAAAGTTATTTTTTTTTACGAAAATGTTTTATTCTAATAGCAGTGTACCCACCAGATTCTTCTGAAGACAAAACAAAAATTATTTCTTTGAATGTGGAAGTAACAGTACTTCGAAGTTATATCTATTTTGTTCTTGAAAAAAAATTACACTTAAAAAAAAAAAATCAGGAATAAAAATTGATACCTATTTGACTGCACTTTTGTTAACCAATGAAAACTCACTAGCGGTCAAGCCAGCTAGTGGCTTTCAACCTCATTGTTTTTAGTAAAGAAATTTTTAGATTGGTCAAAATTTTCAACTCTGTCCAGTATTCTGCAGCTTGAACTACTAATAATCCAATACATAAGATTTCAGCCCAGATGCACTTTAAAGGTACTTCTACATAAGTACATGCAGACTCTATTACACTGACTTATGCACATTCTCATCAACATTTTGTGTGATGTAAATGAGTCAGACTGGCCAATCATCTATCCTATGTAGCAAGGGATCTTCAAATGTAAGTAATTTTTTTCTGTATTCAAACAACTGCTATTTTCCACAATATCCTACAAAAGTGCAGGATTCTGTGTTCAAAACTGTATCTCCATACTTCTCATGCCTCACTCAAGTTGTTTGAATTCTAAGAGACAGATCTCCTCCCATATACACAAATGGAAAGACACTGTGAAAACACTGCTTGCTTCTAATAAGTAGGCAGCATACAACGCAGCTGAAAATCACTATTTCAGGTGTTACACCAGCAGATAAGAAGAAAGCAAAAGTGTAACCTTAATATCAGCACGGAAGACTGCTACTGTTAGTCTCTTCATTTGCTTAGGAGCATAGCAACATACTCTAATCTACCTCATCTTCCATCTGTCCTAGGGAAGGTGTCCCTGCTTACTGAAGGGGGGGCGGTATAAGATGACCTTTAAAAGTCCCTTCCAACCCAAACTATTCTATGATTGCAAAACTTTAAGCCATCACTGAAGCTCCAACTGACATAGAAGTCTAACATTTAACCAAAATTAATTAGGCATAAGACCTATTTACATAATCGTTACTGCTTTCTGAACTCTACTAATTATACTGTGTAGCAGAACTCTGCAACAGATAATTGTTTTTTTAATGTTTTCAAAAGTTACGTGAAGTAACATGATACTTGCATCAAGAATCACATCCATACAAAACAGCTTCTATCTTCCAACAAAAACCCAACACATTTTCAAGTAATCAATGATATCAAAAAACACCTACTTTTAGATGTAGAATAATTCCATCCAGGCATAGGCAAATACTACTTCTAACACCATTTCTGCTTGGTTTCTCAATCCAGTCTACTGCAATTTTATCCTGGTTAAGCTTCAGATGACAGGTATAACTATTATATATTCTCCTCTTCAAATAGAGTTGTGTCTGTCCTTGCTAATGAACCCAAGTTTCCCTGCAACTACTCAGTGTTACAGATGGCAGAAACAGGCCTTTGAGATTGCTATATCTCAAGTATTAAGGTTCAGACATGGACTTCAGGACACCTTTCTACTGCTTGATCTAGAACTGAATACACCTCCTCAGCAAGAAGTAGGTATTCCTTTACATGTTGCAAAAACTTAATTCTCATCAGTCAGTTTTGATGTAAGCTCAACAGCCATTTAAGAGTAATCTCTTGAGCTACTAGTAAACTGAAGTTGTCCGTGCAGGCTTCCAAGGAATGAATTACTTGACTTACGCTGTATGTGAATCAGCTGCTTTGGCATTTTAAATTCTCCAGGATAGATAGATTCATAGTATGCAATATTGCTTTCTGCTTCTGGAACCGGTATAACCATGTTATCCCTCTTCTCTCCATATACTTGTTGTGCTGAGATAGCCCGTTGGAGATGATGTTCCTATAAACAAAAAATAGTCAAGATGAAAACGTGAGAAAATACTTCCAGAGCTCAGACTTTTAAAAGTTGAAATAAGTCTGTTTGGTTGCAAATACTCTCATTCCAAATCCCCAAGACCAGACCTTATGAATCGATATTGCAGACTTGACCCAAAATTAACTCCATAAACTAGAACTTTCCAGTAGGTGGCGCTGGCCCTCTTACACAAACACAAACATTTCAGTTACTAAGTAAGTCAAGTTCCATGTTGCTGGCACACCGGGCTACACAAATCCATCTTTACATATTGCTTGAGTGTCACTTAGGATTGATTAGACATACAGATATAACAAGTAGCTGCAGACAGATATTTGGTATTACTCTGTATTTTCAATGGCCATTTATTGACTGTGATGTCAGAAAACCAGAAAGGAAGCCTGTCATAATCTCCTCTTAGGAGAAGCACCTGTTTTACTCAAGACAGAAAAGGACTCTCCTAAAAACGTTCTATTATTATCCTTTTTGCCCTCCTAATCACTCAAATAAACTTTATTATTAAACTATAAACCATGGGGGTGAGAATAACTAACTTTTAGAAATCTGCAACTGTTTTTCAAGCTTAAAAGTAAATTACACATTTATATCTGTTACTAGAACCAAAGTAACAGGTTAGTAAAATTACGAACTCCAGTAATTTTCTAATGCGACGATTAAAACACAATTCATTCTTCCTGTGGTGCTGCCAAGATAATAAGTAGTATCAGCAGAGTTTCATATAGAGTTACCAATGAAAACACACACAGCAAGATGTGTGCACCTATATAAATAGCTTACTGACAATGTAACACAGTATTATTTTCCCCTGCTACCAAAGCTAGTTTTCTTAAGTTTCTACACTAGTCTTTCCAAGGTGCTCAGTAAACTAGTGCTGCATCAGTTGTGCCAATACAGCTATCACTGAGATGCTATAAACCAATTTACTGAAATACTTGAAACAGAAACTGCAGCAAAAGCGTGGCAGAGATGATCAGTGTTACTAATGAAGCATAAAACCTTATCAGTGTTCATTGTATTATCTCACATCCTTTGTCTGACTTCAATTTACCCCCAACACTTCAGTACAATAAAGGCAATTAACATCCTGTTTAAATGTTAAAAAAAAATTAAGAAAGCTATAAAACAGGCTTTACTGTAAACTGCAGTTACAGCAGTCTCTAACTAAAACCTGTTTCAAGTTGTAGTTCTTCTACAAGGATTCATAGGATTTTTTTCTATCTTTACCTTCAAAGAAGCTGTAGAGATTTTTTTCGCATCAGTCTCCTTGTCACAAAATTTCTTCACAAGAGACTGTGATACTAAGCCATATCCTATAGTAGCAAGTAAAACTCCTGATGTTGATCCTCTAGCATTTGTTAAGCACAGACACCTATGTCATCCAGAAGGTATGGCAGCTAAAATTCTTTGTTAGGTATGGTCCAAATTAATTTCTTTTCTACCTTTTAGTGAAGCACTGCTGCCAGACAACTCAAATTTGTGTAAACTCTGGGAGCACTAAGTTTTAAAGCACATTAAATATCTACAGTTAACTAACCTACCACAGCTTACAGTTTCTATGCTGGAGTCATTCTCCACTGTGACTGCACAGCTGATTACTACTACCCAAATGCAACACCTCACTGTGCTGGTTTGGACTGGGATAGACTTAACTTTCTCCATAGTAGCTAGGATGGGGCTGTGTTTTGGATTTGTGCTGAAAACAGTACTGCTAACACGAGGTTATTTTAATTTATGCTAAGCAGTGCTTATGCAGAGTCAAGGCCTTTTCTTACCCCACTGGCAAGTAGGCTGGGGGTGCACAAGAAGTTGGGACATCATGCTCAGCATATAAAGCTGGGGCAGAAGAAGGAAGGGGGGAACATTCAGAGCAATGGTGTTTGCTTCCCCAAGGAACCTCCCAAGTTGTGATGGAGACCTGCATTCCTGGGGATGGCTGAACACCTGCCTGCTGATGGGAAGCAGCAAATTAATTCCTTATTTTGCTTTGCTTGCATGTGTAGCATTTGCTTTACTTATGAAGCTATTTTTATCTCAGTCTATGATTTTCTCACCTTTACTGTTGTGATTCTCTCTCCCATCCCACCAAGGGGGACTGAGCAAGCAGCCATCTGGTGCTTAGTTGCTGGCAGGGGTTAATCCATTACATGCATTAATTTGAAACTGTAGCCTTCCAATTAAAAATGGTTTCCTCAGTTTGTCAGAATGATTTTTAATTCAAAAATCTAATCAAACATGCTGGCTTTATGTTATCTTGATTTAATATGTAACTATTGTAGTACAACTCACTCCTGAAAACATAAACAGTCATTTAAAGACAGATCTCTTCAGAAATTTAACATCTTTTCACTTTCACATGAAATTTTGCCTCTTCATCCATTTCCAGATATAGTTTTCCAATCAGCTCTACTTCCACTATATAACAATTCTGTAATACTGTTTCTGCTCATTGCATAATAAAGCAGTATCAAAAAGCCTTTTCTAAAAGTCAAGATGCAACTACTGACTAGGACCCTTGTCCTGCCACAGAAAGAAGTTAGACTGGAATAACTGGGGTTTATTCTTGAAAAGCTCAAGGTAGCTCTTCCCTAAGAGATTAGCATCTTCCAGGTAATTACTGGGGCCAAATAATTTACATTATCTAAATTCCTCCAGGAACTGCTGTTAAGATAGCTTGCTTTTAACTCTTTAACTACCTTTCCTGGGGTTTTGCGTTGAGATTTTTTGATGGTTTTTGTGGGTTTTATGTTGTGGTTTCTTTAAAGAACATGGTTGCAGTGCTTTTCCCCTTCTCAAGTTCTCACGTAGCCGTAAAATTATTTCTACTTCTTTATGTTCCTAGCATGAATTCTAGGTGAGTTAGTCACGCTTAAAGCCTGTAATTCGTCATGTTAGAAGGAAACTCATCTAACAGTTAACTACCACCAGAAGATGCAGCCCTGTGCCCGTTGCTGTCATTCGTCGTGTTACCACTGCCTTACTGCACCTCAGGACACCAATTCCACAGCCAGCCATCTCCCTTCTGTTAGTTCCCCTGAAAACAACTAGAAACAACTAGTCTTCGGATGAATTAGCTTCCTGAAATGCCAGGGCAGACAGGCGAGGCAGTGTGAAAACGGAGGGAGAAAGATAGCAGCTAGCCAATAAACTGGCTTAAGAGCATCACTAAATTAAAAAAAAACAAACAACCGAACAAGTCTTTTCAAAATGAATACCATGGGCAAAAAACCCCAAAGATGAAAACTCAGGAAACGCTATGACAGATAAACATTTTAACCATCTCAAGTACAAATACAATGAAGAAAGTCTTCTCTTAGTACAAATATTTACAGAATATTCTCTTCTTATTTTGTACATTCGTTGCTAGATGGATCTCACCTTGTTCCTCCTTGAGGTAAACCTTTCATGTAAGTATGAATTGTTCACATACTACTTGTTCCTAGTCATCACTTTCCATTTCAATGCATTCAGATTCCTGTGTCAAGACATCCTACTTACTGAAACTACAATGGAATAAGCTGCAATGGTGTTACAAAAACTCAGCCCCAACTACTGATGAACACAGGAGCCTCAGCAGTTTCTTCCACCTGTCTCTCAACTTGCTGCTCCTGGATCTTTCATACATACCCTGTTTCACAACACACACTTACTGAAGGCAGTTTATTCTCACTGAAACTGCCTTCCATTTTTACATTTAACTAATTTCAACGTATTAGTTAGGCTTATATCCAGTAAAGTTTCCTTCTTTGGTTGCTTTCTCTGCCTGACATAAAAAGCCATCAGAAATCCAACTTTGGGAGTCGGTTGTGCTGAGATGCTAGTTTTAATTTGATCAAGTACTTTCAGAGCAATGGTACTGTTCCTTTAATCTCACTCCCTCCACCTTGTACTAATGCTCATCCAAATTTCTGTTTAAAGCTATTCAGAGTTCACCCAAAACCTAAAAATCCACTTCCTTTTCCTCCCCTTCACCCCCCGAGTTAATCTTTGATGAGGTTAGCTTCCTACACAAGTGGTCAGACAATCCCAGAGTCAAAAGGATGCTGCAGGAATACTCGGCCCAGAGACAGAGGTTGCCTGAGGAAAAGAGCAACTCCATAGTTTTTTGCAACACCCAGTCAGCAAAATAAAACTGCACGTTATTATACCACTATATTCCTGTCCATAAAAGCATCTGGACAGTTAAAATTCCAACACTTATCAGACTACCCCGCTAGTTGTTTAAACAAAATATCTACAACTACCTTCTTGCTTTAGAATTTTTCCTAAAATTAGACAGTCTAGGAGAAAAACCCACCAAAAGAACAACCTTTCTTCTGACTACTCACAATGTAAGCAAGGAATGAAGTATTGAAGTAATTTCCTAAGCTATGTAATATCCACAATTAAGTGTATCAGTATTTTCACACATGTTCCAAAACAGCAAGGAGTGGAAAAAATAATCTAAAGGAAGTAGGCAGCAACAAAGACACTAGAGAAAGCAGGAACACAGCAGAGCAGCTCTCACTGCAGCCTGCAGAAACTGTAAATTTTGTTCAATTCTGCTTTGGGGGTACAACAGGACCTCTATCAAATGATAACGCAAGACACCGGTGTAATTCTTCAAAGCAAACTTAGTACTTGCACACTTGTATCATTTCTAGCACAGTACATTAAAAAAGGTGAATTACAATAATTAGAACATGAAAAAAAATAACACTAACTGCAATTCAACCTGACTATAAGGAGGCACTCTTGCCTGCAAACAGAAACAGGTGGAAGCCTAGAAACTGAAAGCTAGTACTATCTGCTGTCATTCACATTTTGGTAATACTTGGTTTTCAGCAACATGACTGCTGGATTCCAAATTACAGTTTCTCAAAGAAAACTGACACTGACAGAGCACAAACATGTCTTTGTAAAAATATTCTGCAGCACACATTGGATACTATATTCACAGCAAGATAACTGCAACATAAGGC